GGCGGCCATCGGCCCCGCCCCCAGGACACCGCAGACCGGGGAGGCAGCTTTTCGAGGTCGCCCCGGCCCCCGCTGTCCCCGGCCTGGCTCCACGGGGCAGGCGCGCGCCATGCCACTGTGTGTCTGTCCCCACCTCTGTCGGTTCTTTTCCGGGCTCTGGGCTCCAAGCCACCCCTGGATCACACACTCACTCCCTTCCAGACTTCTCTGTGTGTTTATTAAACCCCAGGTGCCCGGCTTCGGGTGGTGCACACCTGGCGCTGTAACCAGAGCCTGGGGGAGGGGGGGGGGGGACGGGGGGCTGGGGTCCCAGGCAGGCAGTGGTCCCAGCACTTCCTCTCCTGTGCCTCAGTCTTTGACCTCCCACCCTCCGCCCACCTCACTGACCTCTTCTTCGCAGTCCAGCCTTTGCCCAGCCAAGTCCCACCATCTGCTGTAGCGCTTGCCCGCCCCCCCCATCCTTCCTAACCCGTACCCCCTACAGGCACTGCTTGTCAACCGGATGGCCCCAGACATCCAGCCAAGACCACTGGAGTAAACGCTTCCCCTCCAGTATGCAGAAGCCCGTGCAAAGCATGAGTCATTTACACGCAAGCCTCACGCCCTCCTCCCCACAGTCCTGTGTGGTCACAGCGGGTAGGTGGAACCCCCAGGCTGGTCAGACGGTGGCAGGATCCGGGACACCCCAGGTCACCATACTGCCCTGCCTGTTTGCACTGCACTGGGTGTGGTCCCCACCCTCAGTGAGCTCATGCCCACCAGGCCCTGAGGACGGGAGCCATATCCTCCCCCCACTCCTCATCCTTGTCTCCCATGGCCAGTCCAGCTGACCCTCAAAGCCCCGAGGAGAGTCCCTGCCGTGTGCCTTCCACCCACTGGAAGTCACCAGCCCAGTTGTAGCTTGCACTGTTGGAGGGTGGGGGGCATGAGGAGGAGGCGGGGATGGTGTGAGAGAAGGGTCTGGCAGGAGGTCTGTGGGCAGGGCTGCCCTGCATCTCTGGGGGAGGGGTTGACTGGCACCTCTGCTCTCCAAGGGTGTGAAGGAGGGTGCTATCCCTGAGATCCATGGGGTCTGCACCCTAAGACTTTGGTCCTGAGGGAGCAGGGCAAGCACACCCAGCCCAGGTCCTGGGTGGCCCTACTCAGCCTCGGGTGGACTTTGAGACCCAGGTGGGAACCACAGAAAAGGCAGTGGGTGGGTCAGTGCTGTCTGAGATGAGAGAAGGAGCTAGAAGAGAGATGGCAAATATCTGGAAACCGGCACCACCGCTGGACCATCTTCCCGGTATCCGCGGGAGGGGGAGCCACAGACTGGGACAATGCCCGAGGGACCTTGACACCCTGGCTCCCCTCTGGTCCAAGCTCCTTGACCGACAGCTGTGAAAACAGAGGCCTGCCGGGAAACCAACCAGCCCAGGTCACTCAACAAGTTAACGGAACAGCTAGTTCCAGATCCCGGTTTCGGATCTCCCGAATCTGGGCCTTCGAGACCTGGGCCAGACCCAAGGAAGGCCACACCCAATAGCAGGCACTGTCAGAACACAGATGAGGAGCCTGTGGTAGGCGGTGGGGGGGGGGGGGGGGGGGGGGGGGGGGGGGGGGGGGGGGGCGGGGGCTTGGGACCCGCTTCTCCAGACACTCCACATCACGGAAGCTAGAAGGGATGAGGGGAGGCATGTCAGATTCCCTGGCTGGCATCCTGACTCGGCAGAAAGGAGGAAGCTAGATTTGTATCTGCATCCCGGCAAAAACATCCCAGCTATTTTATCTCCGAGTGTCAGAAGACAGACTCCCTCCCTGCGATCAATGATCATTGATCAATGATCAATGGCGACTCTCAGCAGCACTATGGGGCAGGCCAGAACTGCCCCCTGGGTTTCTGAAACGGTATGAGAGCAGAAAGCCTCATCTTTCTCTTGCAGAGCGGCTCGTGGTTTCGAACAACTGGAAATCACGACCACAACCAGGGCTCCCAGCGTCTGGGAGTAAAGGCGGTACATCATAAGAGGCAAAGAACCAAGTGTGCGAAGTGGGGCTTGGTCGGATCCTGTTTCAAAGAAACCAGCTGTCAAAGGCAGACTGAGCACAAACAGCACCTTTGTCTGTGAATTAGGCTTCAGACGCTATTAGGCAATTCCTAGTCAGTACGCCGGCATTATTGTGATCCCAGGGGACATGTTCCTAGTTCTTAGCGGTGACTAATGACAGATGGACAAGCTGAAAAATGTCGATGTGTGCCATGGACCCTGTTATCTCAGCCAAAAACCCTGATGAAGCAAATATGGCAAAAGGTGGACAATGATTAGGTCTCTGTGGTGGGCAAGGTTCCCAGGTGGCCTGACACGTTTGTACTTGAAGTTGGCACTTGGACCGTCCCAGCGTTGTGGAGGAAGAAAGGCCCACTGCAGATCTGCTTCCCTGCAGACCAGGCTGCTGTTGTGTGCTGTCCAGGTGCTACTCACTTGTAGCGAAGCCAGTGCACAGAATAGAGCCTCCCCAGGTGGTTACACGTTGGGCTGTTAATCACAAGGTCAGCAGTTCGAAACCACCAGCCGTTCCACGGGAGAAAGATGAGACTTTCCACTCCCATAAACGGATAAGTCTCAGAAACCCACAAGGGCAGTTCTACCCCATCCTTTAGGGTCACCAGGAATTAGACTCGCCTGGCTGGCCGTTGAGTTTGGAGTTTGGGGACTCCTGACGGTAGCAGACCGCCACACCTTTCTCCCGAGGACCGGCTGGAGGGCTCGAACCACTTACTCTATGGTTCGCAGTTGAGCACTTAACCACTGCGCCATCAGGGCTCCTTCTGTAGGGTGCCAGCCCAGAGACCCCTATGGCTGGAGCGGATCGACTCTGGAACACAGGGAGTCACCATGAGTTGGCATCAAGAACACCCCCAAACCCACTGCCATCGAGTCCACTCCAAATCACAGGGGCCCTGAAAAGGATTTCTCCGGCTGTACATCTTTACAGAGCAGACAGCTTCGTCTTTCTCCCAGGGAGCCCTGGTGGGCTTGCACCACTGACCTTGCAGTTCACAATCCCGCACTTACTCAACAGTGTCACGGGGCCCCTTACTAACGTCAGGTGATAACAACAGCCCTGGTGGCTGCAAGGCCCGCAGTTCGCAGTTCGAAACCACCAGCCTCTCTTCGGGGGCCAGACGGATGGAGCTTTCTACCACGGTAAAGTTAGTCTAGGAAACCCGCAGGGGCAGTTCTACCTTGTCCTCCTCTAGGGTGGCCATGAGTTGGCGTCAAGTTGATGGCAGTTAAGTTTGGTTTGGGCGGACTAGGTGCATTCTAAATAGTTCCCGCCACGTTTCCTGCGGACCAACCGGCTTGTCGAGGTAGTGGCACAGGTAAAGGTGGAGTCACCCCGTCCCAGTGCTGCACACTGCCATCATCTCTTCCATCACCTGCATCACCACCGTCACCTGTTTCTACATTCAGACCCAGAGAGGCTGGCTCTCCTGCAGGCTGGCGGGTGGGCTGACGGATGGGGAGAGAGATTTGCTAAGCAAATCCACACAGGTATCTGCTTGCCTTCGGACACCTGCAGCTTCCCACTGGGCTCAGATTTGTACTCGCTGCCGCTTCTGGCTCTGCCCTCCTGCCAGTCCCCCAAAAAATGCATCCCTATGATCAGGCTCTGCCTCACTCATGCCTGACTCCCCACGTCAAAACACCCCTGGCTGGGTCCCCAGGTCTGTAACCCGGCTCCACTGAGTCCCACTGCTCAGCCCACACCCTGCCAACACCCAGCCTCCTTGCAACCTGCAGTCCCCAGACTTGAAAGGCCCAGTGGCCTCCTTCCTCTCCACGGACGCCGGCCGCCTGACCCCAGGCAGGACAGTCACTAAAACTCTCTCGAACCTCGAAATTCCTCACCGGGCAGACCTTGGGCACATATGCAGGTGTCTCAGAGACGGTGAGGCAGTTCATTTATTGGGCCAACCTGGTCGATAAACACATGTGGCGTTAATTGAAGGGCGGAGAGATAAACAGCTCAGCGAGCCTCGCCTTTCTTGTCTCTTGCTCTTTGACCATCGGGCCAGTGTGCGGCTGCCTTGCTTGTTCTGTGCCTCCATTTACAAGCTACACTACCTGTGGGACACCTAACCCTTGGACTGTCACTGTAATTTGAGGTTCCTTCAAGACCTGCTTTGCCACACCATTGGAATTTACATCTCTTGAACTGGGGACTGTCGGACCCTGTCATCTGGCTGACGGTTGGTGACCTGCCTTGCTGTTTGCTGCCTGTGCCCGGATAGCCTGATTTGCTCTACAGAGGGCTACCCAGTGGCCCTCAAGACTTGAAGGACTGCCAGTGTCTCACCACTCTCTCACCGGAGTGAGTTGCACTGAGCCATTTGCACTGCTTTATGATTTAATTAACTGTTTGTTTCTTATGTTATATATCTATCTGTGTGTGTATATATATATATATATATATAATTATTAGCGTTCTGGTTTTGTTTCTCTAGAGAACCCTGTCAAACACAGACGGCATGCAGGCTTGCCGGTGAACTTCCTGGAGATGTGGGTTCTGCCCACCTCCTCTCCTCACCCACAGCTCCACATGGGCTGATGGCTGGAGAGGTGGGGTGGAGGTGGCCAGCCAGGGCACCCAGACATGTGTGTGCAGGGGTGATAGAAACCCAGAGCTCTCCCACCAAAGACGATGGCTCTCAGGAAAGGCTGGCATGGCCCCACCCTACAATCCAGCACTTCACCCTACCCCCACCCCACCACAAGCCACAGCCCCACCCCACAGCCCCACGGAGCCAAGGTGGAGGGGAGGGGAGTGGGGAGGTCAGGAATGTAGGGCAGGGCAGAGTGAGCAAGTGGCTACAACAGGAACCTTCAGGGCCTCTTCAGCTTCACCTCCCTCCCATCACAGCCCCCCACTGCTGGAACCTCTCAGCCAGCCCCCCTCAAAGGAGGGCGAGGCCGGTCTTACTGCCCGTGCCTCCTGGTACAATACTCAGACACATGACACTCCGTGAGTCAGACCCCCTCCACCCTCCACCCTCCACCCTCCCCCCAGCACTAGAGGGCCTTCTCTTGTGATCTCCTAGCCCCACTTCTGGGAGTTTATCCTCAGAGGACAACTGGACAAGCTCTTGGGCAGTGTGGACACCGAAGTTCACGGCAAACTACTTCTCACATGAGGATCTCTAGCGTCCGCCCGGGTCCCTGCGCAGCCCCAGGGGGGGTTTAATGAAGTAAAGGTACAGGCGGCCAGGGAAGCACCCTGTGGAATGCAGA